AAAATTATTCCAAAATTTAAGTGTTTAGTTTGAAAAAAAGTGAAGCAATAATCTTTGAATTTCAAATTCTAATATCTGTGCTCTTCACATATGTTCTAAAACAGGACAGTGTTACAGTGTTTCAAAATGAGACTCAGGGCAGGGGAAGGGGGAGGGGGAGGGTGCTGGGTGGTGATGCAAGTTTTAAAACTTTAGAAGTGGCGGCATTTTTAGTGCAGAGAGCCCTGAACCTAAGAGTCGCCTAATTTGAATTCCAGTGCTAACCTTTACTGGATTATGGTCTTCGGCAAGTTATTTATCTTTTCAGAATCTGTTTCTTCATTTATTTAAAAAAACCCATTGCCGTCCAGTTGATTCCAACTCATAGCGGCCCATAGGACAGAGTAGAACTGCCCCGTAGAGTTTCCAAGGAGCTCCTGGTGAATTTGAACTGCCGACCTTTTGGTTAGCAGCTGTAGCACTTAACCATGACGCCACCAGGGTTTCCTCTTCATCTATAGAATGGGAATATTCACAGTTCTTCTCTGTCATATAGGGTCGCTATAATTCAAAATCGACTTGACAGCACACAACACCAACCTATAGAACACCATCATGAAAGTTACTGTTGTTATTATATTGTGCTTGTATAAACAACAAACAAATTTTGAGAGGTGAGGAGGATCATTCTACGGTGCAAGGAATAATTATTTTTCTTAGGATTCCTGATTGCAAATAATAGACACCCTCGTGAAAGTAACTTAAGGCAAGACAAGGAGGAGGAGGAAGGGAATTTATTGATAAGATTCTGGCAGGTCTTAGGTATTTTAAGAGAAAGACAAAACAAGACTGTTGCCATCAAGTTGACTTCGACTTATGGCAACCCCATGTGTGTTAAGAGTAGAACTGTGTTCTGTAGGGTTTTCAGTGGCTGATTTTTCAGAAATAGATTGCAGGCCCTTTCTTCTGAGTTGCCTCTGGGTGGACTTGAACCTCCAGCCTTTCAGTTAACATCCGAGTGTGTTAACCACTCACTGTTTACACTACTCAGGGAATCTGTCGTAAGGAAATGTTGAATAATTTGGGCCTCAAGATAGTAGAAACCATGACCACTTTGGATAACTCGGAAGAACTGTGTAGGTCTTTACCCTGGTGTTCTGCCACATTTGGGTCCCTCCTCCACTCCTTTCACTTACACCTATTCACCTGCTAGCTGGCCAGTAGGTTAGGTTTTACCGACTATATTAGTTTCCTAGGGTTACCAGAACAAAGTATGACAATCTAGGTGGCTTAAAAGAACAGAAATTTGTTTTCTCACAGTTCTGAAGACCAGAACTTCAAAATCAAAGTGTTGGCAGGGTCATGCCCCCTCTGAAGGCTCTTGGGAAGAATCCTTCCTTGCCTCTTCTAGCTTCTGTTAATTCCTGGCAATCTTTGGTGTTCCTTGGCTTGTAGCTATATCACTCCAGTCTCTGCCTCCATCTTCAGATGGCCTTCTTCCCTTCGTGTGTTTCTCTGTGTCCTCTCCTCACTTTATAAGGACACTAGTCATATAGGATTAGGGCTCACCCTAATCCAGCATGAACTCAACTTGATTACATCTGCAAAGTCCTTATTTCCAAATAAGGTCACATTCACAGGTACGCAGGTTAGAATTTGGAGGACATAATTCAACCCACTACACAGGGTCATGTGACCATCTACATAACAATGTAATAACAACCAATGTTAGTTCTAACCACCCCCCCCAAAAGAAAAAGAAAAAAACCTGTTGCTATGGAGTAGATTCCGACTATCTTAGTCATCTAGTGTTGCTATAACAGAAATACCACAAGCAGATGGCTTTAACAAAGAGAAATTTATTTCTTCATAGTCAAGTAGGCTAAAAGTCCAAATTCAGGGCATCAGCTCCAGGGGAGGGCTTTCTCTATCACCTTCTCATCAATGTTCCCTAGGACTAGGAGCTTCTCTGCCCCGGGACCCTGGGTCCAAAGAATGCACTCTGCTCCTGGCACTGCTTTTGTGATGGTATGACGTCCCCCTGTCTCTCCGCTCGCTTCTCTCTTTTATATCTCAAGAGATTGCCTCAAGACAGAATCTAACATTGTAGATCGAGTCCTGCGTCACTAACACAACTGCCGCCCATCTTCCCTCAGTAACATCATAGAGGCAGGATTTACAACATATAGAAAAATCACACAATACCAGGAATCATGGCCCAGCCAAATTGATACACACATTTCTGGGGGGACATAATTCAATCCATGACACCGACTCATAGTGACCCTATAGGACAGAGTAAAACTGCCCATAGGGTTTCCAAGGAGCGGCTGGTGGATTCAAGCTGCCGACCTTTCGTTTAGCAGCTGAGCTCTTAACTACTGCGCGACCAGGGCTCCATGTTAGTTCTAGGATGATGCGTATCTTGTGGTTGGGGGAGGGGGAGGAACACAACACAAATATTGCACATAAAGCACTTTATGGCCTGCCCCCTCACTGGCCTCTTCTCCTGACACATCCTTTCTCTCTTTGCTTCCGTAACCACAAACTGCTTCTAGTTCTTCACTTGCTTTTCTCATCTATGCCTGTGGCTAGAATTTTTTCTTGTTTCTTGCCTCATCTCTTTACCCCGCCACATATAAACTCATTTCCCTGGTTGATTCCTACTCTGTCTTTAAGGCTTGGCTCATCTCTTACAGTTAATGTTTGTTGAGTGAATGAATGAATTCTAAACAAAGGGGATGGCATAAGCTATAACGGAAAGGAAGAAAAGTAACAGGACATGTTCTGTTGCCCTGGAGAGTAACCAGTTGCTGTGGAGTTGACTCTGATTCATGGAGACCCCATGCTTGTTAGAGTAGAACTGTGCTCCATGGGGTTTTCAATGGCTGATTTTTTTGGAAGTAGATTGCCAGGCCTTTCTTCTGAGGCACTTCTGGGTGGACTCAGACTTTTAACCTTTTGTTATGAATTGTGTCCCCCCAAAATATGTGTTGGAAATCCTAACCTCTGCCTGTGGTTATAATCCCATTTGCCAATGGGTTGCATTTGTTACGTTAATGAGGCAGGATTAGGTTGTGTTTGTTATATTAATAAGGCAGGATTAGGGTATATCTTGAGTCAGACTCTTTTGAGATATAAAAGAGATTAAGCAAACAGGCAAGAGAAGCAGAGATGGGGGAAGAGAGATGCCAAGCCTCATGAAGATCACCCAGGAGCAAAAGCTCAGAGACAAGGACCTTCCTCTGAGCTGACAGAGAGAAAGCCTTCCTGTAGAGCCGGTACCCTGAATTCAGACTTCTAGCCTCTTAAACTGTGAGAAAATAAATTTCTTTTTGTTAAAGCCACTCACTTTTGGAATTTCTGTTATAGCAGCACTAGATAACTAAGACACCTTTTAATTAGCAGCCAAGCACATTAACTGTACCACCCAGGGGCTCCTGGAGCATAGGCCCTGTCTGTGGGAGTGGAGGAAGGAGAGCATACGTTAGAGAGGATGCTGTAAGCTCCCTGAAAGCAGGAACAGATGTTATTCCTATTTGATGCTGCACAGCCCCTAACATAGTGCTTTACATGTTGTTGGCACTTAGTACATTTGTGATGAAACTTTTAGTGTACAGAAGGCGATAGAAGTTCACAGAATAACTTCCTGACCCTAGAACAGGTGTTCCACAGAGAAATTTGATAATTTTTATTTTTTTTTAACAAAATTCCTTTAATGGATTGTGTGTAAATCCAGAACTGGTTTGCTCTCAGATGCATTCCTTGTCCTTTTCCTGTTTCACTTTTATTGCAGGAAGCTTCTGCTCCTCGCAGGCAGAATTTCCCAGATTTCTGTGGCATCTGGCTTCTGGCTGGGTCTGGCCAAAGGGAGGCACTGGCAGGAGATGGAGAGAGGGAAGGGATCAGGGAGAAGCCCTGTCTGCATCAAGCAGCATCTCCAGCAGTGGCCTGTGTCCTCCAGGTTCCATCTCCCACCAGGAGGGCCCACCATGGTTCCAGCTTCCCCTGGGTTACCCCAGCCCTTGAGGTCCAGTGACACCACCCTCGCCTTTGTGTCCTGAGGGATGGGCAGCCGGCTTCTTGCTCTTGCTGATATCTAGGTTCCTCACTTGCCCCTGTTTGGTTTCTCAGCTCTTCCCTTTCCTATGCAGCCAATTCCCTGAATTAAATCCTTCTCTTTGAAATACTCAGATGGTTTTGTATGCTGGTTAGAGGCTGACTGATATGGATTGTTTTCTAACTCTCGGTGTGAGGCGTTAGATTGGGTTTTGGTTGGGCAAAGAACCAGAAAGGACCAGAAATGCTCATCCATTGGAAACCATTAAGGAACTGCCTAATGGAATTATTAGTGATATCCTAGGACCTAAATAATTTACCCTCCAGTTCTAAAACCTGTTTCTTTACCCTGTAAGCCTTCAGGGCCATCATATGTCTTCACTGTGGTCTGTGGGGTTGTTATGGTCTGTGAGTATTCTTGAAGGCTAATCATTTGCAGAAACCAATGTTAGTTGTAGAATGGTGCATACTTCATTTCTGGAATAAATTACTAATCGGCTTCTGATACACCTTAATAGAAATAAGATGACTTTGTTAATGCTTTATCAAATGTAGCTCTGTGCTCCTTAATTCTCATGAGACTCAAAGTTTATTTTTGGTGAAGGAAGAAATTGCCAGGGCTGGGTTGTTGTATTCTACAGCCTGTATCTGCTGTGAAGAAAACCACAACACAGTTTAAGAGCCATTGGCCAATCTGATCTGACCAGAGAGATCTCAAAATATGACAAAGCATTTTCTTGATTAAAAATTTTAATTATACTAACATCTTTTAAATCATTTGAATAAAGAAAATTCAAGAACACATAGGGATTTTAAGAGATACACCTCATGGTTGTTCATTAAGACCTAAAAATAAAACTTAAGAGCAAATCTAAAAGCTATCCATTACATTGAAGAGTTTCATTCTAGTTGGTGTAACTTGAATAACATGTTCAGTTATTTAACTCCCTCTTGTCTCGTAGAGAGAGAAATGTCTTAAATGTTCTTTTATAACTCTACCTGTACTGATACTTTTGTTTGTTTCTTAGGTTCCGTGTACCATTTCGATAAGTCAACTTCATCCTGCATTTCTACCAGTGCTCTTCTTCCAGATCCTTATGAATCAGAGAGGTATTTTTGTTTCTTGGTTTTAAGTTGCACTGTTTATCTGAGGTTAAATGACCCTGGTGGAGGGACCTAAGGCTGCCTCTGTGGCTCTCGGCTCAGGCCAGAGTCATAGCCAGACCAAGCTCTTCATTAAAATATCCTTTTTATTTGAGAATCCTCCAAATCAGTACTCATATATTCTGAGGAAGCAGGTTTTATTCTCATATAGAATCTGTCCCTGTAAGAGAGTTTCTCCACCCATGAGCACACAACAGCCCATGTGTCCATCCTGACTGAAAACCTCTGTAGAAAGAGCAGTTGGACCAAGGAGCCAGCTGTGCCTGCTGAAGTGTCCCCTTTCTTGGGACCCTAGCACCACAGTTTATGTTGAAGCCACCTGCTGGCCTGGGAGGGTGCATTTCACACTCCTCAAAGTTCTAGCCTAGGCATGGACCAGAATACCTTTTTTTTTTTTTTAAATTATGGTAAATATATAGGTAACAAAACATTTGCCATTTCTATAATCTTTGCATGTACAGTTCAGTGACATTAAATGTTCTTCATATTGCTCAACCATCACCATTAACTGTTTCCAAATTTTTCCATCACCCTGACAGACACTCAGTGTCCCCTAAGTGCATAATGCCTCCTTTTACCCAAGATAATGTCCCTATTCACTAAGGTGAATGTAAGAAGCATAAAAACATACCAGTTTCTGATTGTATAAGCTCACTCCCAGAGTGTCAAATCCTGTCCCATTTCATCTTTCATCTATAAAGACAGCTAAATTCTGGATTCTTGGTGTGGATTCTTTGGTACCTTACCTGGGATTGTTACTGCCCAGCAACTGGCCTGTTTTTGAGTAAGGGTGTCATCCTGAGTTGGTTTTCTCATTGCCTTGCTCTTTGTAAGCATGGCTTATCTCCCACTCGGTTTCTGTTCCCATCTGAGAAATAGGCCTCTTTCCCAGGCTGTGGTTTGACACAATGAAAGGCCTCTTTTTTGACATGAAACTGTGGCCCATTTACAAAAGGAAGGGTTTGGTCTCTTGTCCCCAAACACAACAGCACCATAACCATATGTTTTAGTCTTTGTGATGCTGCTAATGCCCTTAAAACTACCAGTACTTTACAGAAGCAAACATTTTATTTTACACTCGTGTTTCTGTAGGTTGTCTGAGGCTCAGCCATTTTGGCTAGGCCCAGGTGGACTAGGCTGGACTCCAGGTTTCAAGTTGGGTTCAGGTCTGTTTTACATGTCTTCATTCCAAGACCCAGGGTAAAGGAACAGTAGTTCCCTGGGGCATCTTCTTCACGTGGAGATAAACAGAAGCTCTGGAGAAGGCTGGCTGGAACTTGCCGCGCCTTTTAATGCTCTAGACCTGGCACTCAGTCACTTCTGCCCACATTCCATTAGCAAAGCAGATCATACGGCCAAGCCAAAGTCAGCAGAGAAAGAATATCTCTTCCAGCTACTCTGAGGAGAGGTACCACAAAGTCACATGGCAAAGTGACAAGATGTATGATTCTATCAGAGTGAGTATAGACTTGGAAATCAGAATTCAGTCCACCAATCGACAAAATAAGCATAAGATCCATGTAACAAAAATTACAGATGACCAGTTTCAGATGTGTCCAAAGAACTGAAATAATTGTTGAAGAGGAATATACTCTCCTATTAAATCTAGTTCCATAATCACCAGTGTTGTTTTCTCTTCTTATAAACCAGTGTGGTTGGCGAAATTTTTCCTAAAAGGCCAGAGAGTAAATATTTTTGTCTTTATGAGCCATAGGTCTCTGTTACAACTACTCAACATTTTAGTGGGAAAATAGTCATAGATAATATTAAACAAATAGGTGTGGCTGTGTTCCAGTATAACTTTATTTCCAACAGTGGGCACAGGCAGATAGATTTGGCCCTTGGGCCACAGTTAGCTGCCCTCAGTTATAAACTCTTTTCTTGGGAAGTAATTATTATTGGATATATTTTATTAATTCTGCTTGTTGGTCTTTCATGTAAAAGATTCATCTTGGGGCTTAACTAAAATAGTCTTTCCCTCCTTTTAGCATTGACAGACATTGGTACAGTTTTAATCACCTTTGAAAAGTGTTTTACTTGCCCTTACTGGATGGAAAATTGTCATTGACTAAAAATATAAAATTCTCCTAAAAAAAGACCCCATAGCAAGTAGCAAGTAGTTTTATGAATATATAATAACAATAATCCTCTTATTAGCAAGTAAATTTTAAACACCACTGCTAAAAGAGACATAACTACTCTTCAATTTCCAATGCCAACTTTTTTTTTTTTTTTTTTTTGCCAAATGTTGTCAAAATTTTTCCTTCTCTCTTCCTTCCTCATTAGTTATTATGAGCTGACATTTTGGATTCAGTAGCCATAATAATATTTTGGGGGTTGATTTAGGGAATGTCATGGATTGAATTGTGTCCTCAAAAAATATCTGTCAACTTAGCTAGGTCATGATTCTCAGTATTGTGTGATTGTCTACCATTTTGGAATCTGATGTGATTTCCCTGTGTGTTGTAAATCCTGTCACTGTGTTGTTAGTGAGATGAATTAGCGACAGTTATGTTGGTGAGATCTACAAGATTAGATAGTGTTTTAAGCCAATCTCTTTTGAGATATAAAAGAGAGAAGCGAGCAGAGAGACGGGGGACCTCATACCACCAAGAAAGCAGCACCGGGAGTAGAGCATGTCCTTTGGACTTGAGGTTCCTGCTCAGAGAAGCTCCTAGACCAAGGGAAGATTGATGACAAGGACCTTCCTCCAGAGCTAAGAGAGAAGAGAAAGCCTTCCCCTGGAGCTGATAGCCAGAATTTGGACTTATAGCCTACTAGACTGTGAGAAAATAAATTTCTATTTGTTAAAGCCATCCACTTGTGGTATTTTTGTTACAGCAGCACTAGATGACTAAGACAGGGAGTAACATCAAAATAAAAAAGTCATTATTGTACTTTTTTTTTTTTTTTCTATTTAGGGTTTATGTTGCTGAATCTCTCATTTCCAGTGCTGGAGAAGGACTGTTTTCCAAGGTAGCTGTGGGACCTAATACTGTTATGTCTTTTTATAATGGAGTCCGAATTACACACCAGGAGGTGAGTGGGGTAGAAATGGAACACCAATTTAGTTGGTTAAAAGGCTTTGTTTCAAATACCCTTAATTTTCTCATTAGTCCTTTACTTCAGTATTCACAAGTATAAAGGAACAAATATATTGGCTTTTTGTAAAACTGATTGGTTAAATTATTTTCCTTCTCTTTATTTTGAGCCTTAATATGATTTTTTTTAAGTTTTACAACTATTTTATAGAAAGGAGGATGGTGCCGTCAATGAGACAGTAATTGCATTGTACCCAATATTTGAAAATTTGAAATCCAGTTGGACTCAGTCAATAATTAATGTTTGATTTTGGCCAGGGTGCTTTGTAGGAATGCCCCCTACTTCTGTTTGTGTAAAAATCATTGCACTAATAAAGGCACAAGATGGGAGAATCCCACCTTTATTGCTAACTGCGTGGTAAGGATCATCATGAATCCATTTCCCACCTGGAAATTGATCCAGTCTTTACCTTTCCACATCTCCATCATCCTCATCATCAGCCACCCATGTGGCAGCCTCTCTTGGCCCTAACCACCCAGAGTTAGGTCAGACCTTACAAGTTAGAGGGACTCTGTCCTTTTAATCGACCATCCACACAGCCTTTCTCTCTTCCCCCAGCCACCCAGAGGTGGGTCACAAGTTAAAGGACTCTGTCATTCCAAATTCCAAGTAGGCAGACACCAGCCCGGCTCATTGCCCCTTGTTGGTTCATTAACTCTCTAGAACAGTGCATGGAATTCATGGAGACTATTACCGTCCTTATTGTTACCCATTTATTATAACCAAAAAGGGTACAGATGAAGAGACGCATCAGGCAAGGCTTTGTAGGGGGCCCAGTATGAGGCCTCCATTGTCCCCAGGGATGTGCCACCTTCTTGCATGCATGGATGTTCTCGCTAATACAGGAAGCCCATGGAACTTCTGTGTTCAGGGCTTTTGGCTTCACTGCATAGTCATGACTGATTGAATCACTGAAAACGTATGACTGAGTTATGCCCCTCTCTCCCTGAGGGCCAGGTGGGGTCTTTGGAGCACCCACTTGTTTGCACTCATTTTCAGGCGCTGATCAGAGGTTTTACATAATAAAGGCACCTAGATAGCTAGGGAATTCCAAGATCTGTCTTTCAGGAAACCGAAGACAAAGGCCAAATCTAGTTCTTTGTATCATAATCAAACAATAGCTGACCTCTTGTCAGGAAGGGTTCCATTTCCAAATAAAAATAAAAAGCTAAAGAGTTGAATGAACTCTTGCCTTTAAGACACAATCTTTGATATATTTCCAAGATTTTATATAGGGTTTTTGGTTTTGGTCCTTCATTTCACAATTAATTTCTCTAAGTGTCTGTTTGAAGGCAAAGATTTGATACTTTTAACATAAAGAGTGATTTTCATCTTGGTCTCACTTGTAATTAAGTATGTGGGACTTATGTTTATTGCTAATATCACACATCCATGTTTTTACTCTTTTGCTTATTTCTGTGAAACGATAAGTAGAATTATTTCATGTTCAAAGAAGTTGCACAGACAAAAATGGCAATGCACTTAAACCGAGCTGTGGTCTGGCAGATGGTGTCCCCACACGATGGCCCTGGACCTCTCTGTTGGCAGTATATGAAAAGTCCAAGAAATTCAGCCTATGAAAGCTAGCTTCAGGATGTTGATGTATAATTTGTTCATTCAACAAACATTTCACAGATGAGGAAACTGAAGCCCAAAGAGGTTAACCAGCTTTGCCAAGGTCACAAAGCTAGTAAGTAGCAGAGTTCGAGTAGGATTTCAAATAGCAGAATCTGGCTCCGTGCTGAAACCTAGCCCGCTGTGCTATATAAATGAGTGAGACACTATCCTTGCCCTCACGAAATTTAGAATCTGTTGGGGAGATTTTTTTTTTTTAAAAAAAAAAAACACAACTAGCGCCAACATAAGGTAGATGATACCAAGTGTTGTGTCAGTATCATATGACAAATCTAGAATATTAAGATCCATAATTTGGTTTTGTTTTTTTTTTTGCTTTTGGTCACCTCTGTATCATCTGCACCTAGATCAGTGCCTGGGACATGGTAAAACCAAAACCAAACCCATTGCCAACTTACAGTGACCATGTAGGACAGAGTAGAACTGCCCCATTGGGTTTTCAAGGAGTGGCCAGTGGATTCAAACTGCGGACCTTTTGGTTAGCAGCCAAGCTCTTAACCACTGCTCCACCAGGGCTCCCTGGGACATGGTAGCACTCAATAAATATCTATTGAATGAATATCAGCTACAAATAAAAGCATAATTATAATTTAGAGGCGGGAGAGATGGTATACCTCTGAGAGTCTATAGTTTTGTATGAAAACGTGATCCTGTTTGCTCCAAAACGCTGTTGCTGGCATTAACAGATCCTGGGGTTTGTTGGTCAGGAGTGGTTTGGAGAGGGAGAAGCCTGATGGGTGCACTGTGATAGTGAACCCTGTTATAGATGAGAGAGCTCACCAGTAATTGGCTACAGGAGTCCCTGGGTGGTGCAAACAGTTAACATGCTTGGCTGCTAACTGAAAGATTGCAAGTTCAAGTCCATGCAGAGGTGCCTTGGAAGAAAGGCCTGGTGATCTACTTCTAAAACACCAGCCGTTGAAAACCCTATGGAGCACAGTTCTACCCTGACACACATGGGGTCTCCTTGAGTTGGAGTCAACTCGACAGCACCTACTTAATTGGTTGGATTGATTGTGACTTCCCTGGAGTGCTTTCTTATGTTCCTGGTTCCGTTGGATGTTCTTGATTTTGTTTTCCCTTTGTCTCATCTTCCTCACTTATTTTAATTCAAGTTATCTGGTTGTATTTTTGTGTGTCTTTGTAAGGGACTTGAAATCCTTTTTAAAAATATATATATAAGGGAAAAAATCAACATATACTAAGCTGAACTGCCTGATGCTGCCCAGATACACCGTTGGCACTGTCAGTGTGTGGAGGGATGCCCTGGGCTCTTCTCACACCCCTAGCCATCACATCATGAAGTTTAAATTAAGGATAAATGAGTTAATATCCTTGACATCCTTTCAGCTCTTGGGAGAAAGGTCCTCTCTGATGTTTGATTTCTTATTTTCTGGCAGGTTGATAGCAGGGACTGGGCCCTTAACGGGAACACTCTCTCCCTCGATGAAGAGACGGTCATTGATGTGCCTGAGCCCTACAACCATGTATCCAAGTACTGTGCCTCCTTGGGACACAAGGCAAATCACTCCTTTACTCCAAACTGCGTCTATGATATGTAAGTATGACACCGAGCTCTGGCTTCCGTCTCCGGCTCAGGCTTTTGGGTCTGGAGGGGCCATGTAGAAGGTGTTTTTCCCCCCACATATCAAGAATGGCCTTGAATTTTTTTTTTTTTTTTTAATCGTGAAGGTTTACAGAACAAATAGTTTCTCATTAAACAGTAGTACACATATTGTTTTATGACATTGATTAACAACCCCACGACATGTCAACCCTCTCCTTTCTTGACCTTTTTTTTTTCCTGGTGAAAATATACATAGCCAAAGATACACCATTTCAAAAATTTCTACATGAACAGTTCAGTGACATCGACTGTGCTCTTCCAATTGTGCTGCTATTCTCACTTTAGATGAAGGCTTACAGAACAAAATAGTTTCTTATTAAACAGTTAGTACACATGTTGCCCTTTGACAGTGGTTAACAGCCTTACAACACATCAACACTGTCCTTACTCAACCTTGGGTTCCCTATCACCAGCTTTCCTGTCCCAGAATAACCAAGGGCAGAGGTACCACAGGCTTCAGGGTTATGACTTGAAACTCAAAAGTCTAAACTCCCCCACTCCCTGGCCTTGGCGAGCTAAGAAATGGAGAAGTGCATGGAAGAGTTAAAATGCTGTGGAAGTACTATGCTTAGGGGTTGCCGTTTTATTGTTGCTTTTCTTGTCCTTCGATTTTCTCATTCTGAAAAATGAAAGATAGTGTTATTGAAAATAATAGTAAAAATTGAAACTACTCTGTACAATGGAGAAGATGAGGGAACCCTTTTATGATGTGAAAGGAAGGAGAAAAATAAAATCCTAAGCCTAGGATGAGAGGTCTCGGTATTGGAAGATACCTATATAACCAAATAAACTAAACCAAACCCATTGCCGTTGAGTTGATTGTGACTTGTAGCAACCCTATAGGACAGAGTAGAACTGCCCCATAAGGTTACAAGGCTGCGAATCTTTACAGAAGCAGACTGCCACATCTTTATCCCGCGGAGTGGCTGGTGGATGCAAACTGCTCACCTTTAGGTTAGCAGACAAGTGCTTAACCGCAGTGCCACCAGGGATCCTTATAAAATCAAATAGTCCCTATTATTTGGCAATAAAAAGGAATGAAGTTCTGATACATGCTACAACATGGGTGAATCTTGAAAAACATTATTCTAAGTGAAAGAAGCCAATCACAAAGGACCAAATAGTGTATGGTTCCATTTATGTGAAATGTCCAGAATAGGCAAATCCATAGAGACAGAAATAGATGAGTGGTTGCCAGGTGCTGAGGAGCTTGGCGAATGAAGGGTGACTGCTAATGAGTAGGGGGGTTTCTTTTGTGGGTGATGAAAATGTTCTAAAATTAAATAGTGGTGATAGTTGCATAACTCTATGAATATACTAAAAACCACTGAATTGTGCACTTTAACATGGTGAATATAGTGATACATCAGCTATGTCTCAATAAAGCTGTTATTTAAAAAATCAAATAATCCTACCACTCTCTAAGTGTTTGAGCCTTCCCTTGTAGCTGCTTCCTGAACCTCTGCCTGAGAACCTCCATCAGTGGGGGCTTACTCTTACCCATAGGGCAGCTATCTGGATCAACTCAAGTAGAAATGATGAAATTAGCTTTTGAGTTC